AGTATGGTCTAGACAGTTTTGTGTTGTCATAAACAAAAGATGCCCCATGTTGTCTGCTCCTATGCATACCTGAATACCAAGCTTATGGTTCATTCCCTTATGATAGAAGAAGGTTATATTGGTCCCTGCAATAAAAAGGTATGGTGTTTGATTGTATCTTCTGCGGATAAGGTCAAGGTCATTGTTTTATCAGGTTTAAACCTTGTCATTTTGTCAAAGAATTATAACTCTAATCATTAAAGAGCTTTTAATTCAATTGATACTCAAAGAATTTTAAGTTGTATATTTGATTCAACGCTCACCATCCTTAAAGTAGCATGAATTCATTTAAAATATCCTTACAAACAAAAAGATGAGAAAGTACAAAAAACAAGTTCAAACAAGATGTCGCAAATGGAAAATGCGATTTTGGTGGAGCACAACCTTCTCTTGTTCAGCCTGAATGCCTTATTTTCCCAAGAATGATGGGTGCCCAGTTGTATTAGGATTTTTTACCCTCATTTACTCCCCATTTCTCGATCATGTCTCTTGTCAAGACTCCCTGGTCAACGAGCCTTTCTATCTCTTCCATCAATGGTATGCACCTATCAATGTGATGGCCCAATGCCCCTAGATGAAAGTCGCAAGCACTATTCGGGTCATATCCATAAGTAGATGGACTAGTCTTCACACTTAAGGGCCTTGGAGTGAGATATTGATTATTGGTTAAAGGGGATAGCAAGTCAGAAATGGGCACTTGAAAAATCTTGAGGGTTGTATTTTCCCAAAACATCTTCTGTGGCCAATCTCGGACTACCTCTCCTTTGACTTTTTTCTCGTCATCTCCCGCTTCTATCTTCTTTTTTAACATTAGAGAGGTCTCAAGAGTTGAGTCATTTATCTCTGCTTCACATACCTTGCTTTCACTGATTTTGTTCTTCTCTTTTTCAACACTCTTTTCCGTATATACTTCACTTGTTTTGACCCCGTCAGCTTCATTCTAGGGATTGATTTTCAACTATTTACCATCCACCTCTATAACCCCATGAGCCAAAATATCTCGGACTTGTCGTTTGAAGTTGCTACAATTCTCGATGGAGTGTCCTTGGGCTCCAGCATGATATTCATAGGAAACTTTCCCATTATACCAACTCAATAAAGGGGGTCGTAAAGGCTTGGCCAGACGTGGGATAATCAGTTGGGCTTGGAGCAACTTGGGATATATCTGGTTATATGGAAGCTCTTTCGACCTCACTTTCTCCTTGCTATTTTTATGATCATATTGGAGACCTTGTGACTGACCACTAAAACGTTTGCTTTGAAGATTTAACGTTTAACCAGGATCCTGGGAGAGACATTGGTTTGCAGATCTCCCTTCATCGACAATTTTTGAGCTTCCGGGGAGCTTAGGTTTTCCATTTTCAAAGCATAACAACCCTTCTGTGATGAAGTTTTGAACTTTAAATCTCAGGATCGTACAATCTTTTGTAGAGTGGCTAAACTTTTGAAAATGATAGCCCCATGATTTTTTGACACCTTGCCAGTCTGGACGCAAATAAGTATTGTACCTTGGAGGAAAAGGCTTTAGGAGCCCACTTTCAAAGAGAAAGGGTAACAAGTCTGAATATGAGATCGGAATTGAAATCAGAGGCGTCCTCTTCTTCTTATTTCTATTCTTTTTGGCCTTCTTTACTGGCACTTGAACCTCCTCTAGGCTTCTCTTCTTTGAGTCCTGTTCAACTTCCTTATTAGAAGTTTCACCCTTAGCTTCTACTTTCCCCAGTATGATCTCTGTAGCATTTTTTGGAATCATACTTGATTTTTGGAGTTGACTTGAATTACCACATCCCCTAACAGGTTCTTGATCATTTGCTGTCATTTCCTTGGCTACACTACTATCATTCAAATTATCACTCAAAGTCTTCATCTTTTCTTGCATAATAGGGTCCTCTGATGATTTCTCCCCATATATTATTGTAATCATCATGCTCATCAACTGGGACATATGTTCTCTGGATTCCACTTGGAACTTCCTTGCTTCATCAATCATTTCTTGTTGGGTCCTTACGAGTTGTTCTTGAATTCCATCGATCTTACTAACTCGTGTTAACATTTCATTCATTGCTCTCTAACTTTCCAGAAACACGTCTTGGGTAACTTCAATTTACTTTTAGAGCTTCTGTCACATCATCCTTCACGAGTTACTCTCACATTTTCATGATCGATGCATGTAAAAATGCTTAAATTAACGCATGCAATGCAAAATGTAAATGTAAATGCAAATGCACGAGGTGTTAATCCCAAAAGTGGCCACTTATAGAACAATCGTTCACTTAGACAACAAGAATTCAGTAAGTGCACCATGTAGTCAAAATACATATGTGATTCTTCATCTTTTAATTTCCTTGAGTCGTACTCTTCATGGAATCTAACACTAAACCCAAAGTTGTCAGAGTATTTCATCACCTTTGATGACGTCGGATGTCCATAAATTGAATCTTGAAATCTTCATTCTTACCTCCAATGCGAAGTGGTCTTCATGTCTTTATGAAGGGTCTTTATGTCTTTATGAATGGTCTTCATGTCTCCCGGTTTTGACTACATGGTGGAGAATTTCTTGCCTCAATATATTCAGCCTTCTTGTTAGTCAGTCACTTGCGAATTAACACCCCTCGATGACATTAGGATGCAAATGAAATAATATCACAATAAAATATACATAGAACAAAAACGGGTTAGTGCACATAAGATAAACAACAAGATAGTGGATACCGTAAATATTAAATAAAATCTACCCTCACATACTGGCTACCCAATCATGCTTTAGTAGATCCTACCCAACATGATATCTACCCACATGCTTTGTCATTCACATAAAATCCTAACCGCATGGCATCTAATTCACATGCTTTGTGCAAAAATATAAAAACTAACCGCATGCTTTTCTAGTTCTCATACTTATTGCAAAAATAAATTCAAGGAAAAGGTTAAAATGAGTTTCCCTTTTGTGTCTGCGAACAGAGATTCAACATAAAACGGGCAGAGTTTTGGTATCACTAATAAAGGTCCTCGAATTGTCCTTTGATGGTGCACCCTTGAGCTTGCCAGACCCTCGATCGTCGCCCATTATAGGCTTAAAATGAATCGAGTTAAATTCGAGAGGATATATTTCCCTATGTCCATGCGAGGAAACTCAATGTTTCGCTCGTAAACATAAGGCATGTACCCCAGAGGTTACTTGCTAAAGCTTATGCGGAGAAAAGTAATTTCTCTCTCGTAAGCGTAGCGTTCACCTCTACTTAACGGTAGAGAGCACAGTTAGAAGGCTCTAAATATCGAAAGGTTATAACGACAATAAAGGGAAACTCATAATCCTTTGTCTCGATCCAATAAAAGCAACAAACTAAAATAAAGGTCAGAAAACTAAAACATGGAAATCACACGTACAACTATTTATTCGTTAACCAAATTACAAATTAAAATACAAACAAGAAATTCAAAACAAACAAGGGATTAAAAACCAAATTAGATCGAACTTATAACTTTCGTTTGCAAAGTCAATTAATTAATCGACTATCGGCTTGACTCTCTAAAAAAAAGTCCCCAGCGGAGTCGTCAAGCTGTCGAAATAATTTTTAAAGTGGGGCGAACGAGGTTTTGAAAACACATCATTTTTAATTATTCTCTTTTCGATTGAATTTTAATTAAAACAATGCAATTTTAGAAAAACCCTCTTGTTTCGAATATTTGGGAATCCTTTAAAAATAAAACGTATGGTTCGAGGAGTTGCCACCAATATTTGATTAGGGTGTGATTGGGCACCCAAAAATATTTTGCCATTTTAAATAAAAATTAATTTTAATTAAAGTGACAAGTAAAGGTCTGCGTACCAAAATCTAGATTCGGGAGTCGATTACGCGTAGGGAAGGATTAACACCCCCATAGTGCCCTAAATCGGTACCTAGTCGATTAATTAATGTATTTGCAATGAAATTTAAAAATTCAAATTTTAATTTGATTTATGATCCCTATTAGAACAAAAATTTCAAGAAGGAAATTATTTTGTACAAACAATTCTTAAAAACACACTCCTTGTTAGTTATGGCGCATTTTTTATGGATTATCCATTCAAAAGATTATTTCCATGTTTTGATCAAATTATATTTAATATACATGCAAAAATTAATAATAAAAATATGTCATGCAAACTATTATCCATCGTTATGCCAAACTATTTGTACACCTATTTATGACTTATAATGTGAACATGCGAACTAAATGAATGCATATAAAGACTAAGTGTATTACAACAAAATATGGAAAACATACTAATACAGACAAACATAGTAAAACGAAATGCACAAAATGACTAAACAAATAAACACTGGAATTAAAGGGGAAATGCGAGCCAATAGGAAAATAAATGGTGTAAGACATACAAAATATTTCATTTTACATACAAACATAAAAGGACAGACTTTATAAAGAAAAACATGATTACAACATTCCATTTTGACACCTAAGTATTTCAAAATTAATGCACAATATGGAGATAATAAACTAATTAGTGTAGAATATGAACAAAAAAAGGAAACAAAGTTACAAAATTAAAAGCTAAATTTCATAAATGTTGAACTGTGAAACAAAGTGTAATACAGTGAATTGTAAATTAAAAGGGACACACATAAATGCCGAAAAGAAAATAAATAAATGAAAATAGGCATAAATGTAATGGATCTATTAAGTTAAATAAAAAATAGGGAATGGCTAAACCGAAAAAAATAAAACAAAGAGCAAGACCAAGGTGAAATGAAGACAAAATAAGAGGGACCACATAACTTATTTACTCTTGTTTATAAAAGCACGGGTTGATGAACACTGAATCATTGTCATTTTAATTAATATATATATATATATATCATTTTAAACCTAAACTACCGTATGCGGCTGAATCATGGCCATTTTAATTAATTAATATATATAATATTTTAAACATAAACTAAACCCTATAGCCGCATTATCTCAACCTTTTTCAATCTTCTTCACAAAACCCATGGCTCCTCTTCTTCTTTTCTTTTTTAATTGCCACAACCGAAGCCCTCCGGTGACCGCCCTCAACAGTTGAGCAAACCCCAAACAAACCTAATCACGAGCTCCTTAATCCGGCGACGAATCCATATAAAAAGGTAAATCTTACTGCCTATTTATTACCTCTCTTATTTCTATTTCAAAATCTCTATAATGAAAACTAAATTCAAAATTACATGCAAACTTCCCGAGAGAAAATCGACGCTTCAACCTTAGACTTTGACGACTCAAACAATTTCGGTAAACTTCTAGCTCTATTATATTTTGGGATTCACTGTTCTTGAACGGTGATGGTAACCTCGCCTGAGCGAGATGGACCACCAAGAAGAGATCCGAACGCCTCAGGTAAAGAATATTATTTCTTTTCTTATTTTTTCATTTTTTTAAAACACAAATACACGTAAAAAACATAATAATAAAATAGAACAAGAAGAACTAATGAACAAGAGAAAATGAAGAATACCCTTCGAATTCTAATAAAACTGATTTCTTTGATGGTGTTTTTTTCTTACAAATGCTTTTATAATGATATCGATCCCCTTCCCTTATATTTTCCTTTTGATTCGAATGTTTTTCCCTCTGTTCGTTTTTTTACTCTAATGGTTGTTTCTCTCCGAATCCTCCTTTTGTTGATGAAATCCCCCTCTTTTGTTGGTGATTTTTTTTCTTTTTTCCCCCAACTCTTTGTTTTATCCCCGATTTTATCTCCATTTTCTTCACCAAATACCTTGACTATGGTTGGATTAGGTAGATAAGATGATGGAAATTCCAGATTTTAAGGGATTAAGTTGCTTTCTTCTTGACTTTGGTTGTGATTTTGGTTGACTGTAGATGATTTGTGTAGTATCAGCTTCAATTGTGACATGATTGGAGGCGACTCATACGCGTGAATGGGAGCAACAGTGAAGCACAGACGCATCTCTAGTGGACGCATATCTAGTGGCTGGCGAGTCTTGTAACCGAGTCTAGATTCAGGTCTTGGGCTTGAACCAACATCTTGTAATTGGGCTGATATATATAATTGGATCTTGGGCCTTATTGGGCTTTTGGATAATTGTTGGGCCTGTAAAATATAATAATAATAATAATAATAATAATAATAATAATGTATAATTAATATTTATAATATTTTTTAAACCCTGTCAAAAACGGGTGTCTATAGTGTTGTTAGAATTGATGAAACTCAAAAGATCAATCGAAATAATGTCAAGAGGAGATAGATTGACATTTTGAAAAATTTTAGGTATGGAAGAGAAAGGATAGGAAAATTTACAAAATGATTAATAGTAGTTTGACTTCTTAAGTAAGTCTACATCTACTACCTTAGCTTCACACTAATGATTTTCTAACAAATTTACTAATTTATTCTTTATTTTTTAGGCTCAATAGTAATCTTTACAATCTCCCTATTTTTTTCAAAGGCTAAACTATAATCACTCTCCTTTTTAGAAATGATAAAAGATGTAAACAAAAAAACCTCACAAGGTAGGTGTTTACAATAATTAAGCTCACAATAAAAGCAATTGAAAGATTTGCAATGAACTCAAACACTTATGAATAAGAGAAAAATGAAATAAAAGAGCGAAAAAGTTTTTCTCTTGATTTCTATAACTTGGATAGGTGTTGTAATCTACTTCAAGTGTCCTCAACTTATTTTTATATATTGGAATGTGTTTGTAGTCATTTCTAACCATTTGAGATATTTTGGAGCCGTTGGGGATAAAATTTCTACAAAAATATAACTGCTCAGAACATGGAGTATATGTACCTGAGCTAGGAGTATCAGTATTGCCTTGTAATTTTTAAATAACTAGCTGTTAGTGATAAGTATCAATACTAGGGTTTCAGTTTCGGTACCAATTTTGTATTCTGGAATTTGAACACTTTAAAAAACAACATATAATATCAATACTATCATGTGAGTATCAATACATTTCTTACCGAGAAAACTATTTTGTGTTTAAATTATAGTTTCATGGACTTTGAATTATTTTTGAAAACTTTGAATAAATTCAATTAAGTTCAAAAATATTTTACCCTTAAGTTGTTATATCAAAATATAATTTCATCAGGTATCCATCCTGAAATTTTATTTGTCTGCCTCATACGAATTTTTATTATTATTAATACATATATTTCCAGCTTAAAAAATATTTCTTAATTCTCCATTAATAATATGTACACTGAAATCTCACCCCATCATCATTAACACACAAAAGTCATCATCTCTCCGCGTCGCCGGATACTGAAATCCAAATATACAATATATCTGTGTCTCGTCAAAAACCGAAATCAATACAAAACCCGTACAAAAGCTCTGTTGAATGGCAACAATATCCGAGATTTGTCATTTGACAAACTGACCAAGAATTCGATTATCACAATTCAAAATTCATATCTTAGCCGATTCATGATAAACTTCCGCAAAGATCGCATTAACACAAAACAAGAGCACATAGCTTATAATTGCTTACCTTGTTTTCATTTGACAACTTTTATAATTGTTTATTAAAATTAATACGATGAATCAAGGACTAAAACATTGAAATCGTACAATAAAAACATATGAATCAATGCAAAAGGTTTTAAACGAAAAAAAAATATAAATAGAAAAGAGAATTTTTATTATATTGATTATAAATATAAAAGAATTTTCTAAAAGTATTTCAAATTTCATAATCTTAGTTATATATATATATATATTCATATAAATATAAAAACTTTAGTTTAATTAAATGGTACTATATTAAAATCAATCAAGTAACTTCAATGATTAAAGGAGTGTTATTCTCTCTAATGGTCTTGAGTTCGAGCAGTTGCGTCTACAATGTGCCTATGTTGTCAATTGTTAAGAAATATTCTGAACAGTATTACCTTATAATCCCCTCATACTATTAACAAAATTGCAATATATTATTTATCTCAATTTATTTATTTATCAAACAGTTGACATCGTAAATTATTTAAATCAAATCAAGCAAAATTTAAATTATAATCTCTAATTGAACCTATCAAGTGACCTCAGTGATAAAAGAAAATGTTGTTTTCTAATTGAACCAATTGATAATTGGTTTAATTTTTTTAACATATACTATCTTATAATCACTCTAAACTATTGAAAAAAAAATCATAATCTCTAATCAAATGAAACCTATATGAATGTACTTAGATGTGAGGGTTTTATTTTAATAGACAATTTTGCTGGATTCCTATGACTATGCTTGAATTCCGTCCGATAATGTTGTGTTTAGCGTATAAGATCAGAATAAAAGGATCTGATAGTACTACTATTATATCTATATAAAAAAACATAATTTCAGGCTCAATTAAAGTCTCATAGGAATAATAATATCGTATTTTTTTATTAATTTGAAATAATTATAAGATAATATATGTTTGAAAAACTTACAATTATTTTTTTTTGAAAAAAACATTTTGTACGGCTTTATTGATAGCACATATAAAAACGACACAAGCATAAGTCTTATTAAAAAACCTCCCTAAACTTAAATGAAAGAAAAAGAGTACGCCATGCTCGTGATACAAATCCGATATACAAGGAACAAAACCGTTCTTACAGTAAACTCGATACACTACATTCAAGTATATCACTACCAAGCAAAACCTCTAGACAAGAGCAACAGCAAGCAACCCCCTAGATCAAGGATTCCAACTAACAGACCAAACCAAATTCAATCGCCCATCACTACCAACAGTAAACCAACGGCAGTGAGCAAGAGACCCAGGCAAACATAATTCAAACCACTGATCACTCTATAAGACTTACAGTTATTTAATAATAAACATTTAAATATCCATATATATATATATATCATATTCAAATATATCTCTAAAAATAATAATATTTTTTTATTATTTAAATTATTTAATTTACGCATAATCTGTCGTATTAGTTGTTGGATTTCTGGCAATTTTAAAAAAGTATATGCTCACTGACTCATCAGTAAATCGACTACTCAAATGCATCACGTCTTTTGTTAAATTATAAATTAATAGAGTATTGTATTTGGCAATCGACATTGTATTGAAAATGAATGAATTTTTTACCAGTACGGATTAATTTAAGTGGTAAGCAGTTTGATTTCGTTTAAGTAAAGTCTCAGGTTCGAGTTTTTACGTATGTAAAAAATCCTTGGTGGAAGACTCACTTATCAATACTAGGTGTGTGACTCGGGTCAGTCCGGATTAATCAGGACAAAACCTTAGAATCGAAAGAACAAAAAATGAATTTTTTTATTTTGCCAATGTTCCAAAAGTCATTCTTATCATCTTTGGATAATAAAATAGTGAAAGTATATTATAATCCTTGACTATTAAACTTTTAAAAAATTATAAAACAATTTTAAATTTATTGAATAATTGTAATATATTTATTAAAATCTATCAAATCATTATAAAATAACTTTTATCAAACTAATATAAATTAATTAATAAATTTATCATACTTTTGTAATTATAACAATTTTATAGTGACGTTTCATAATAATTTAATAAATTTAATATTTTTTTAATTTTTTTAAATATTCAAACATTTAAATAATTATTTAAACCTACTTCAATACTTTATCCTAAAATCATTCATGTTCTTGAAGAATAACTTATATTTAATTGATTTAACCTCACTATTTTTTTATAGGAAGTACGGGGAGAAAGAGTACTTCCGATTCAAGTTCAAAATTTAATATCATTATAAATTTGTTAGGTTTAGCGTATATGTGACTAATCAATAGCGTATAATAGAATAAATTTCATATTTTTTATTATTGGGATTACAATTATTATCACTTCCATCCATACATAAAACGATCTTTATTGTTTAAAAAAAATTTAAGGTATTATAATACTAATATTCCCTTTGTCTCAGTAATTTTACCACCCGTTAATTATGCACATATTATTAAGAAATCTATTAAAAAATTTGTATTAAGAAATCAAAACTTTTGCAAATCAAATGCCTGAGAGTTGAGCTGAGCGTAGTCGAACTCAAAGGTCTTTTGTTGGCAGACAACCCTTCTAGACTTAAGTTGTGTTGCAAATGATATGCCTGAGAGCTGAGTGTAGTCGAACTCGAAGATCTTTGGTGACAGATAACCCTTCTAGCATTGAGTTATGCTGTAAATGATATGCCCTCGAAGCTGAGTGTAATCGAACTCGGGGGTCTTTGGCAGATAGCCCTTCTCGACTTAAGCTATGCTGCAAATGATGTGCCTTGGAGCTGAGCGTAGTCGAACTCGAAGGTCTTTGGTTGGCAAATAACCCTTCTTGTCTTGAGCTATATTGCAAATGTTGTCTTAAAAAAATGGTTTCCCTTCACAGGTCTAAGTCGATCATAGTTCTTCAGGTGGTTCCTCTGAGCGGGTCTGAACCAAGTAATATGATTTTTTGGATGACTCATCTTCACGGGAAAGTCCACTGATAAATTATGTCCGCTGGAAATCTTCCGTCATGGAATTGAAATCTGGCTTGAAAGTGTTAACTGGAAATATGTTGCTCTTTGTTAAGTTGATCTGAAATGGATTTGATCTGAATTGGTTCTTGAACCTATCTGAAATTGGTTCTGAGATTTGTAGATATGTCAAGTCGGTTGAGGTGTAGCTTCTCACTGCTGAGTTAAGCAACCACCATCGTTCTTCAAAAGCGCTTGTAAATCGAGTATCCTTCATCCTGAAGTTGAAACTTGATTCTAAAAGCTGCAAAAAATCATGTATGCCAAAATGATGAATGTGGTGCACTTAAGTATGTCTAAGATGCATGCAACATGAATGAATTATGTGTTATCTCTTGGATGGAGTCTCGTGCTTTGTCTGCCAGTCTGGTCATTGGAATCGATTGTGCCCTATTTTCTTTTCGAGCTTTGGCTTTATAGACCTTTCATATATGAGACTGTTCTGTTTGAAAACGTTTTTCCTTTTTCTTGTTTTAGGAGAGAAAATGATAAAAATGCTGAAAAATAATGTTCGCAATTGAATCAAATTGTAAACGTGAGTTCAAAGAATATCAAAGGAATCAAGAACTCCTTTAATGCTTTCAGAG